GCACAGCGGGGGGGCGGGGCGGATCCCCCTACCCAGGTCCATATTCCGGGGCCCTGGTTTTCCAAAACGACCTCCCCGCGTGGCCCTTTGGCCCCTGAACTTGTCTCCGGGACGTGCGGGTGGGGGCGTCCCCCGAGCGCGGCCGTCTAGTGTGGAGAGGGCAGCAGGGAGCCCTGAGAAAGGACCAATTCATTCACTCCCTGCGGGGCATATTCGGGAGGCAGCTGTTGTGGGCGAGAAGAGCGGGCGCGCTCAGCCCTGGCTGTGCCCTTTAACCCCAGCCAACCCGGGCCTGAAGGGCAGACGGTTCGGACCAGACCCGGACCCACTGCTGCCCCGCGGCCCCTAGGGTTGCGCTTGGTTCCTGTCTTGGCCAAGAGAGGAAAAAAAAATTGCGGGGCTCTTCAACACATTTTGAGGGGCCCACGGGCTGTCCACACTTTCCGCCCAGGAATCCGAGGCATTACCTCTACTGAGCGCAGTCCACGGATGAGGATGGGGTGGGTGGTTACTTGAGCTTCACGGAGGTTTATAAAGAGAGCGATTTCAAATAAAGGACTCGGTGCTGAGTTTTTGTAGGGACCGACAATATCCATAAAACCTGCATATAACAGAGAATTGCCGAATTGAAAAAGGGTAGTTAGTTTCATCCCTACAAATTTCGCTCCCGTCCTCCTCCTCTCTTTGCTCAACTGCCATCTCACTCGGCTTGTGCAGCAGTTGTGATACCTATTCTGGTGTCCAATCGCCCTTTATTGCTCCCCTGCCCTTGTTACCTAACCAGGAGGACCAAGCAAGGGCCCTAGGGTGGGGGTGTCGCGGTCAGCACTATCTAAAGGCGGGGGTTTCACATTCTCGCCCCCTTAAATAAAATCACCCCAATCGTTCGTCCTAGAGTTTGTACAGATGGGGTCCGCGCACCCCTTCCAACCCCTTCAGTTCTCAAGTAAATCTCCGCAGGAAAGACTTGCGCTTCTTGAGCGCAATCCCGGGCGAAGCTTGGGGTCGCCGGCTGCCCTGGGCTGGAGTGCCGTCGCCGGCCGGTCCCTTTCTCAGGAGAGCGGCAGTTCCCAAAGTGCGAGCTTCCAGTCCGCCCAGGCAAACGAGTTGCAAAGGAGCTGTGTCCTCTAGCGGCAAACTCTTGCAGTTCATTTGTGAGCGCTCACCTACACCTAAGGGATCTGGTCCGAAGTCAATTCACGCTCAAGTTGCAGTCCCGAGTGGGGGAAGAGCCCTGAGCGCAGCCCCGGCTGCGCAGAGCCCTCTGCGTAGAGAGGCCGGGAGGCCGGGCGCAGCCGCGCGCTCGGAGGAACAGCTGATTTGTCTCCTCCACGGCAGATGGTCTTTGAGCACAGATTTGCATTCATTGTCTTCAAATCTGTTTTCGCGCTAGTGTTCTAGATCTCAGCAGCAGATCTATGCACGGATCAGAATACAAAAGCGGAAGCAAGAAAGTAACACCCGGCCAGGAGGATTTTTAATAGGCACCGCGAGCTGCCCGGTGCAGTTAAAAAGCCGTCTAAGGTTTCAGCTGTTGGCGGAGCTGCCGCCGCCTCCCGGCCACCAGCCCACGGCCAGCACCTCGGCGACCGCGCGCCGTGGGCAAAGTTTCCGCGACTCCTCTGCTGCCTCCTGGCAGCCCCTCTGCGGCCTCCCGGGGCTTCGGGAACTGGGTGGAGAGGCGGAGGGGGCGTCGGGAGGACGCCAGGCAGCTCTTGCACTAAGCCTGCAACGATCTGTCGGCAACCTCTCGCCCGCACGGGGGTATTTTCCTTAGCTCCATGACCATTTTCCCCGACACTATTTATTTGAATAGCACTTGAGCCTTGTTCGTACTCCTCCACTCCACCCCCCACCCCCAACACACACTTTCATTCACACACCCTTTTTGTAAAGCGCACACAAAATCTGAGTGTCACCATGTAACTCCAGGAGACTTGGGAGAGCCGTTCAGGGAACTGGGTTGCTCTGGGGAACGTGTGCACAAAACCTAAGTACATGTGGTCACACTCTCCGCTTCCTCACACACACGCCCACAGATCCGAGCCCCGGGAATGCGTATGCCTTCCGGCAGGACACAAAAACCTGCATCTGGAGGCAGCACCCCGGAGGCTCCCGCTCCCGCACCCAGACCGAGTGGGCGCGTCGCAGGCCACCTCGCCACGGCGCACGCACACCAAGGACGCAGTGTCCACAGCTTCCGTCCCCTTTCACCTCC